GTAAAGTCTGGGTCTATTTCCTGAAACACAAAAATCAGGCATTTTCTATTTTCAAAAGTGGAAAATACTTGTTGAGACTCAACAGGAAAAAAAGTCAAAAAGCTCAGGACAAACAATAGCTTGGAGTTCTGTGAGTTAGATTTCAATGACTTTTGTGCGGCAAATGGAATCGCCAGGCACAAGACGTTGCCTGGTAAACCCCAGCAGAATGGTGTTGCCGAACATTTGAACAGGACTCTATTTGAAAGAGCTCGTTGTATGCTCTCTAATGTTGGGTTATGAAAACGGCGTGATTTTTGGGCCGAGGCCGTTTCTACTGCTTCCTATTCGGTAAATAGATCTCCACATTCATCCCTTGATTTCAAAATTCTAGAGGAAGTTTGGTCAGGTTATCCTGTTGACTACTCTATCTTAAGAGTTTTTGGATGTCCTGCTTATGTTCATTCCAGTACGGGTAAATTAAACCCTCGAGCTGTCAAATGCATTTTCCTTGGTTATGCTTTTGAATCAAAAGGGTATCGTGTATGGTCTCCTGATTCTCAGAAAATCATTCTGAGTCGAGATATCACTTTTGATGAAAATGCACTACTTTTTTCTGGAAAAGTTCCCAGTACAAGTGAGATGCAGAGTACTGGTGAGAAGGTGGAGTTTGAGTTCAGGCCTATTGATAGTGTTACTACTGTTGATGGTAATACTAAAGATGATGCATCTACGGTGCGCCTCTCGTCGAGCCACAACGAGAGTATTCCATTGCTATGGATCGTCCTAGGAGGACAATTAAAAAAACTACTAGGTATTCTGGTGATGATGAAACCAACTTGATTGCTTATGCTCTTTCAGTCGCATAGGAGATTGATGGTGATCCAACCTGCTATTTTGAGGCTCTTCCTATTGCTAAGTTCAAGCAGTGCTTGAGTTTAGTCGGACTGCTTTAGTTGTTAATTCCCACAGTGGATTTGATCCAAGGTGGAGATTGTTAGAATAATAATTTTTGTGGCTCAGAATCCATGCAGCCATCATCCACGTTGCCTCTTGCACGTCACCGCCGAAATCGGTGCAACGCAGCCACGTTTCCCTTAGCTTTCTCAATGCGCATGCCGCATTTATCTCTATTTTTTGTGTATAAATAGATTAGCTATTTCTGCTTTGTAATGCACTTCATCATTTGAATTCATTTATTTCCTCTTGTCTTCTCACGTATACACATAGTATACATACATATATATATATATATATATATATATTCCTTTATGCTCATTTGAGATTAATGTATATATTTATATTCATTTTGTCATTTTATATAACTTTCTTCATTTATATATTTTCCCTATTATTTAACTTTTATAATTCACAATTTTCGATTCTTCGCTTCCGTATTATTTCGAACAATTATCATTATAAAACATGTTCTGGACGTGTTACCCTTGTGCATCTAAGGCTATTACCATGTGCATCCCCCGTACTTTTAAGTTCTTTAAATACCAACATCCTTACTTATATGGATATTTTTAACTTTTAAGAAAGCTATGTGCATGTGAAATGTTCTTACTCATATTGGTGTGTGCGAAATATCATTGCGCGGAAATGAATAATTTACAAGCATGCACCCAAATTCATTTGTGCAGTCAACCATACAGGCTTGTGCATTGTGTAACAACATACCGGCAAACATGTCTCCTACCCTCCATTCTGTACCTATATACTCGATTTATGGTGGACTCGGTCCCAACAAAATCATCATATTTTTTACATATGAGATAAAGTGTAATACTTATGAGTAAAAAAGTGATACTTTTAATGAAAAATATAATTTCGGAGTTAAAATTTCACTTGTGAGGAAAATTGTAATAGTCTATATAAATTATTTTCCCCTTATAATTTCGATACTCATTTCATGCAAGAGTAATTTCAATTATAATATCATTTTATATTCCAATACAAAATTCAATTTCTGTTTGATTGAAATGCCATGTTAATCACAACTACACCACAATCAAAATTGGATGGACTATAAACATTTATCAAATCATAAATTAGTAGTTAAATAAACAAAAACCAAAGCATAGATTGAAAACTATCAATAATCGTTAGGTTTAAAATTGGAGATTTAAAACTTTACTAAAATAACATGTTTAATCTTTCAAAAATGAGAAGTGAATCTTACAAGAGTTATTGAGTATTAATTATGGACTAATAAAGATCAAAAGAAGTAATTTTCTAACATCATCGACATTTGAATAATTAAGTAATTAATTGAACATATTGATTAGAGATATCAATACTTTTTTTAAGCTATTGATCAAAATCTATCTAAAACATTTTTACTTTACTTTTCAACATCAATATATATTGTTTCTTACAAACAAATAAATCTGATCTACTCCTATATGATATAATCAAGACTTATAATGTGTCTCTATAAAAGTGTTTAATATTTAATTTTGATGTTCCATCAAACACATCTCTAACTTTATATATACTATACGAATTTAAAACAATTTGAAACACAATCAATTCACCATACAATTAAAATTTTAATCAATTTAAAACAACGAAGGAATTAAACAATGCCATTTTTCATAAAACAATTCGAATAAATAATTGGTCTCAACATTCATCAAAGGTCCATCTAGCATGACTCCGTCAGCCCATTGTGATAATCAAAAATGAAAATCATAAATTACTCATTAGCACAAAAAAGAGAAGATCTTTTTAAAGAAGTTATCACATCAACCAAAAATATAATGAATCCAATTTGAAAAGTAATTCTCTTGCTTAAAAAAAATTAATTAACTTGAACTCAAAATTCAAGGAAATGAAATAAATAAGAATCGGAGACTAACATAGTAATTTACCTTGAGTGATTAAAATTGAAAGGAGAAGTTGACAAGAAGACCTGGGCAAAAGCAGAAGTAGTAAAGAAGAGGAGGTAGTTTTCAAAAAAAAAAAAAAAAAAAAAGAGGAGGTCTAAGCTAAGTGTCTGATCTGGCGGAGGCCTGAAACTCTTATAGAGGGGAGCGAGGAGCAGAGATGGAAAGAGTAAAACTAGGGATAGGTGTTAGGGTTTAATCTCGTGGGCTGGTCCTAAATCATCCCGTCGTGAAGAAGTTATAACAAAAAATGTTTTGCCCACAAAGAAATGGGCTTTGCAAGTTACATACCAACTCTAGGGCTGGTGTCATTATATATCTTCAATTGTAATATCTTTTCCATGGATATAACTTTACATTATTTTTATTTCTTTTAAGAACTTTACTCAGATAGACTCTTGAAACCTGAGTGAACCTCTTCTAACATTGGAACATCATTTCTACTAACTTTTGTGCATCTCCTGGAACATGCAATTTTTTCAAGTTCTAATTCTATCGGATTTTCATATCTTCTGTAGAAGATCTAGAGTTTGACTCTCCTACAAAATATCTTCAATTCTCTACATATTTCTTCTGGATATTCAAACTAACTCTTGCAATTCAAATCAATTTTCTTTTTATAAAATATATATATATATATATATATATATATATATATATATATATATATATATATATATATATATATATATATATATATATAATTGAAAACTGAAAATATGAAGTAAATACACAACGTTTATAAAAATTAAAAGAATATTTAGTACAATAACATATATTTATTGAAATTCCAAAATTATTTTTCAATTTTGACCAAATACAAAGATTTATCATATGTAGTATTCATTTAATAGATTGCCGTTTGAATTTTGTTTTCTCTGCAATGAACAAATTCAAAGGCATCTATAAATAACCCAACACAAGATAGATAAAGGGTTGGCTAATTTTATTTTAATAAAAAGTTCTAATTAAGTATTCGAGTGCAAGAGATTTCAAAACTATCCAGCTGATTAGTAAAGAGATCAGAGAAAATATTCTAATAAAGCTCCAAGGCCAAGATCAAGAACACTAGACGTACTCAAGCAACAATCAAGATCAACATCTAGAAGTTGAGTCAACAAGTCGGAGAAAATCAACATACTCGTGTTAACCAACCAACATCTCTACATGGATAAGCAGAAAGAGAAAGAGTATCTAGTCTAGACTCGTGAAAACATATTCGAGACTTGTTGCTGGCTTGTTGCAATTCCTTTTGCATAGAAGTCGATCTTATTACTTTTTTGCAAAATCTGTATTATAACCTTTTGAATCTAAAGCCATTGTGTTTGAATTTTAAGCCTTATTGAAATTTATAGTGGGTTGGAAATATAACACAAGATTTAAAATAGTACGGGAGCTACTACATACTATAAGTTTCAAAAACTTATACTGCTTCACACAGTAGAGGTTTCGCAAACCTTTATTGGTCCAAAAAATAATGGTTTAAAAAACCTGTACGGGTTGGAATAGCAAACCTGTGCTGCTTCTCTAAGCAGTACATGTTCTCAACACTTGGGAAAATAATTTGAAATTTGGCAAAACTTTAACTTGTCTGAAATGTCAATTTTCAGACGAGCGTTCATGTGTTTGGGTAGCTCATGCACACGAGTCCAAACTTTTGGGCTCGTTTTGCATCACTTACACACAAGATAGAGTCATTATGTTATATATATATATATATATATATATATACGATTGAAACTCTTCACAAAGTAGAATTGTATATATACTAGTGAAAACCGCATCCCTTTCTAATCTAATGTTAGACAAAGGCTACTAAAAAGCCTTCCGACTTCATTTTTCCAAACTCAAATGAGTAAACTTTGAGAAACAATTTCTAATTCACTCATTATATATTTTAAGCGCGTAATATATCAAATTAAACCTCTCACTTAGGGAAACATGAATCCACTTTGATACCCGACCCAAATAAAATTTAAAATTATAAAGCAAAATGACTACTTTAAATTAAGTCGATTTTTCCAACAATTGCATTGTCAACTATAAGTTTCACCACAAATAAATTAAAGCATATTTTTCCTACAACAACTTCTAGCTAGCTGCATATAAGAAATCTTTGTTCTCCAAGAATTTCTTCAGAGATTGTGAAGATTGGCAGAGAGCTCCCAGTTTCACATAGCGGCTGAAGGTTTCTCTATTGGAGTAGTTTGCTGCTCATCAATAGGATTTGCCTCATTGGTTGATACTGGAGCGGATGGGGTACTCAATTCTGGGGTTTTCTCCTTCATTTTAACAACATACCCCCTACACACATAAAAGATACATTTAAAAATAATAATAACCATAATCATAATTAAGAATTACATTAATGATGTCACATTTGAGGGTTTTCCCACCCATTCGATTATATATAGAGGGTCATGTTCTTGTGTTAACAGTGTTTTCCGTGCGGTCGGTGCGGATTGCACCATTAGGTATGCATAAATGCACCATATATTGTCTGAAAATACACCATTATGTGTGGTTCATTTTTTTGATATGTGGTGTATTTTGTGACATTTTATTCTGGTGCATTTTCGAACACTATGTGGTGCGTTTATGCATATATATCTAATGGTGCAATCCGCACGACTGCACGGGAAGCACTTTTCACACAAGAACCAAAATCTATATATATATATATATATATATATATATATATATATATATATATATATATATATATATATATATATATATGTGTGTGTGTGTGTGTGTGTGTGTGTGTGTGTGTGTGTGTGTGTGTGTGTGTGTGTGTGTGTGTGTTACCATTCTACTACTAATAACTAATATTGTCTTAAAAATTAAATTTTGAAAAAATGCACTCAAGTCTATTTATTGCTCTAATATATTACATACAAAGCAATAAAATTGAATGCACTTGTTTTAGATCTTGTAAGCACTGTTGTTACCAGTACTCTAGTTATCAATACACCGCCATTTTTTCCTCTCAATTTTAGTCATTGTCCTTCCTATTAATAATTCAAATTTAAAAAAAAAAAAAAAAAAAAAAAAAAAAAAAAAAAAAAAAAAAACTAAACTTTGTTTTAATATACATCGTTTTTGCATACCTTGTGGTGAATGAATTAGCTGTGGATTTTGCTGGAAGTGCCAAAACAATTTCTTTGTTTTGTCCTTGATCCAGTGCAGTTGTTTTAGGATTAATTTTCCTATAACATTAAAAAAATACAAATAAGAAATTATGGATATCTTAACACTACAAACATACTATTGCAAAGCTTGAAACATTAAAAATATTAAGACAAACAAGAAATTTGGTGTTATATATATATATATATATATATATATATAAAAGCATACCTTTTCTTGGACGAATGAGCTTTGGGGTTTGCTGGAAGAGCCAAAACTATATCCTTGTTTTGTCCTTGATCCATGATGATAAATTTCTCTATAATTTCAAAATATTCTAATAAGAAAACAATAATAACATAGAATTGAATTTCATACAAAGTGTATTTTTGGGAGTAATTCTTTGCCAAATTGGTCCAACCTATGGTTCCATTTTTTATTCCCTGTGAGACCTATCAATTGCTCTAATCTTTTCAAAATACACAAATTTTAATCACAAAAGTTTGAAATCATTTTTACAAAAAAAAAAAAAAAAAAAAAAAAAAAAAGTACAACTAACGGAAGTAATTTATTAAAATGAAAATTGCATAGCTTGAATTAAATGGGTAAACATATTCAAACATAGCTTATATTCCAAATTCCAATTAAAAGTTAAAAGTATTCAATAAATCAAGTCATGAGATATGGAGAAATTTAGGGTTGGGGTTCAGCCTTTTGGAACAATGAGATATGGAGAAATATGCCTGATTCAAAAACATATCTAACAGTACATAAATCTAAAATAGTTTGAAACACAATAAACTCATCAAACGATTAAAATCAAATCAACACCATTAACATGAAAAGAAAATATTTAAAAAAAAAAAAATTGTTATCACATAAAAAGTATAAAACCCCAAAAATGAATTCAATTTGTAAGGTAATTAATTCTCTTGCTTAATTTTTTTAACCTAAACTATAAATTCATGAAAACAAAAGAAACAAGAACTAGATACTAATATGCTATTACCTTGGGTAGCCGAAGAGGGCAAAGGCAAAAGCAGTCAAGCAATGGTGTGAGTGGAGGTCTGGGCGAGTGGGCGACTGGTCATAGACTGAAACTTTTATAGAGGGGAGTGAAGAACGGAAGCGGAAGGAGAAAAACTAGGGGTACGTGTTAAAAATTTGGTGGGCTAGTTTTGAACCTTTACGGTAAAGCAAATTAGAACAAATTATTTGGGACCCGCAAAGAAGCACGCTTTACAGGTTTTACATGTTAAGGTGAGTTAAATTCTGTAGACTAGTCTTGAATCATCACGCGGTAGAGCAAGTTAGAACAAATAATTTGGGCCCACAAAAACGTAGTCTTTGCAAGATACAAGCCGTTTCACAGGTTGGTATAACTATTACGGAGTATCATATATAAACCATTAGTTATATCATAAACTAGGTGCACATAGAAACATACAAAGTCTTAATATTTGATGTTAAAATTTCAAATATTCTAGACTAGAAATTAAAAATTGTACACGTTCCACTTAAATCAAACAAATTCATAAATAATCAAAATTTTAAATTTGTGATTAATTAATTTCATAATTTTGTATATGTTCTTGAAATTTTGAATTCTGAAATGAATGTAGATAATTAGTGCTACTGAATATGTTTTCCAAACTGAAAAATAAAAAATAGAGAATGGAATACAAAATTGAAAAACAAAATAAAAAGTGGGAAACTGAAAATGAGGTTTGCACAACATTTATAAAAACGAGAAGAATATTTATTACAATATCATATACACTTATTGAAATTCCAAAATTGGTTTTCAACTTTCATCAAATATAAAGATTTCTCATATATAGTATATATTTAATAAAATGATAAAATTATTAAGATATATATTTTTTTCTTATTCTGCCCTCGCATAATAAATGTATGGAAAATTTAAGAGTATGATATATTTTTGTATTGAGTATTATTAAACGCATACAAAATAAATATTAAAATTTCAGATTCTCACACAAATGAATTAAAAAACGATCTTGTTTGCTTAATTCAACAATTGTATTTAGATTCATTGGACGCCTTAACCAGAATGGTTTTTTTTTTTTTTTTTTTTTTTTGTATGCTACCGACTCTAGAACTCACAATCTTCCAAATGGAAGTCCAACCCGGGTACCATTAAACCACATAGTCAAGGTTAATTAGTTAATAAAGATTGATTTAAGTAATTCTATTTCATTATTGGCATCCAACTGGAATTCTAGAAGAGGACATCCAACTATACTATACATTGGTTATTGCACATTACATAATAACTGGCCGTCTGGTATTTGTTTTCTCCCCAATACAGATTCAAAGGCCTCTATAAATAGCACAACTCAAGATGGATAAAGGAATTGTCATATTTTGTTTTTTTTTTAAAAGGTTCTAAGTATTCGAGTGCAATAGATTTCAAGTGCTATCCTACTTACCAGTAACGAAAGAATAATTCCTAACGCTTCAATCAAGATGAACATCTAAATATCGAGTCATCAAGTTGGAGAAAATCAACACACGTGTCAAGCAACAAACATCTCTACTTGAATAAGGGGGAGGAAAGAGTAGCAAGTGCATGTAGACTTGGGTAAACATAGTTCTTTTGCACTATATATATATATATATATATATATATATATATATATATATAGGGAGGGATCAGGTGCATTTGCTGCTTCCCGTGCGGATGTGCGGTGGATTAATGTGCGTGAGATTTATACTCAATGTGCCTGAGATTTGTACTTAATGTGTGTCATGTTAATATGCGTGAGTTTTGTATTTAATGTGCCTGAGTATTCTGTTTAATGTGTGTGAGATTTGTACTTAATATGCATGAGTATTTCAGAATTACGAGCTCAGAAGGAGGCAGAACAGAAACTCACGCACATTAACGCCCAAGCTTCTTGTTACTTCTTCCTTCAATTTAGCCATGGATTGTGGATTATCAGCTACCTTCAGTGCAGCTGAATGTTTAAATAAATGACGCACGCACAGTAAAATTTGCACAACAGTTAAGTGTGGATTTCTGTTGTATTATTCCCATAATTCTTAACCACCATAGTCCGCCTCCGCATCATCATCATCAGGGAAGCTGACATCAATATTTTCTGCTGCATTTTACACATTCACGCACATTAAGTACAAATCTCAGGCACATTAAGCACACCACTCACGCACATTGAGTACAAATCTCACGCACATTAATCCACCGCACATCCACACGGGAAGCATTCAACCGCACGGGAACCTTTCCCTATATATATATATATATATATATATATATAGAGCCTTGGTTTTACTCAACCCATTCCTCCGCCTTCTCAGCCATTTCTGCCACCGCAATAAATCTTATCCACCGACCATTTCTTTATGTCCAGTAGATCTTAAGACGTTGATTACGACTTTAACTCAGATCGCTTCTAGGGTTTCACCTTTGATTTATTGGACAACTATATTTCGTCCCTCTCGCTGGGATTGCCGTGGGAACTGAAGTTTGATGCTATGAACGACGGGAGCACTGAGATGATGATGAACTGTTGCCTACAGGCCTCTCCGGAGGTGGCGCCGTCGTCGTTCTCAGACTCGAGTTTGAAGAGGGAACGAGAGATCAGTGGCGACAAAGATGATGAACTTGAGGCGGCGGAGAAAGGGTCTCCCAGGGATGAGTACTAGGATGATGAAGAGGTTGTCGGTACGAGGAAGAAACTTAGGCTCACCAAACAACAGTCTGTTGTCTTGGAAGATAGCTTCAAACAACACACCACCCTCAATTCTGTAATTCTCCTTTTCAATTCCTTGTTAAACTCTTTCTTGTTTTATCTTGCAAATCTTTCTTGCTATACAAAAGACAAAAATTTTTATCCCGAATTTTCACACCCAACCTGATAGAATTGTAGAAAAGTAAATCAGAATGACTCAGTAGCCAGACTACTATCTGGTGCCCAGAAAGAGCCATTTCATAATAAGGCCGGGTGAAATTTTCACCCTTCAATCTTGGTGTATAAATGACTTAATACTGAACTTTTTGTTCCCTGATTGGCGAAAACAGAAGCAAGAATTGGCGAGAAGGCTAAATTTACGGCCGGGACAAGTGGAAGTGTAGTTCCATAATCAAAGGGAGCGAGGACGAAACTGAAGCAGACAGAAGTGGACTATGAAGTACTAAGGAAATGCTACGAAACCCTCACGGATGAGAACTTGCGTCGAAGGTACTTCTGGATCAATGATAGAAACTTACGCGCAGCGAATAAGGATTTGCGGACGGAGAATCAGCCATAGTCGTAGACATTGGAAGAAGAGTTGTTGCAGGGGATAACAATTTGGCATTAAGATGGGTAGGGAGTGGACTTCCAAATGGTGGATGCCGAGACAGAGGCGAAGGCGGCGACGAGGCAGAGCATCTGCGGTGGCGGAAAATAACAACCGGACAGAGAAAGGGGGAAAAATTAGCTTATTATATTCAAGGCTATGTGAAATTTTAATTATACCCCTGATTTAAACAGAGTTAAACTGATGGTTTCAGAAGGACCAAATCTGCTTAAGGTCGAATAATTGAGGGACCAATTGTGTTCAAATTGGGAACTAAGGATGACATTGTAGATTGGGCACTAATTGAGGGACCAAAAGTGCGATTTCCTTTATATATATATATATATATATATATATATATATATATATATATATATGTGTGTGTGTGTGTGTGTGTGTGTGTGTGTGTGTGTGTGTGTGTGTGTGTGTGTGTGTGTGTGTGTGTGTGTGTGTGAACAAGTTCGTAGGAGAAAATTAAGAACTAATCACAACCTTACATCTGGAAAAATTGAACGCACCAAATTGGATTTAAAACAAAATAACGTGATGGCAGTTTCGTAATTATCACCAACTTTACTATGCAAACGTGAGCACTAAAATTTGCAATTTTTAGACTTTTTCATATTTTCACATTTAGTATTAACATTTTGCACATTTAGCGTTAACATTTTGCATATTAGTATTAAAAGTTTACTCTTGTAAAAATCTGAAAGTACATTACAGTTAGGGTTTCGATTTTAGAGTTTTGACTAAATTTTTTATTTTATTTGGTCCAGTGGTTCACTTTTTACTGCTTAAGGTTTAACATTTACTGTTTAGATTTAAAATTTAGCATTTTTGTTATTTTATAGAATTTACCAAGTTTGCATATTTAGTTGTTAAAGATTGCATATTTAAGTGTTAAAGTTTGTACGGTGGACTTGATGATAATTACGAAACTGTCACGGCGTCTTTTTAAAAAAACTGATCAGATCCATTAAATTTTTACAGATATAAAGCTGAGATTAATTCTTATTTCTCTCCTATGAAAGTGTTCTCATAAGATTCACACCCAGGTTGCAACGACTGCATGGATTGAGCGCCTTTTTTTTTTTTTGGGGGGGGGGGGGGGGGGGGGGGGGGGGGGGGGGGGGTGAGGAGCGGAAGCAGAAGGAGTAAAATAGGGACACATGTTAAATTTTATAGGCTAGTCTTGAATCAATCCATGGTGAAACAAGATAGAACAAATAAATTTTTGACCCGCAAAGAAGCAGACTTTGCAGGCTACGAGTTGATTTGCGGGCTAACTATTTTTAAAAGCAATGCTGAACAAAAAACTTACTAGCATGTTCATATATATCATCATATATCAATACTTATATCATAAACTAGGTGCATGTAGCAACATGCATGGCATTTTTTTTTCTCCTAAACATATTTTTAACAACATTTCCCCCCTTTTTTCTTTTGTACAAAATATATTGTAACACTAATCATATATTCTCCTAAGTATATTATTTTTGAATAAAAATGTAATACTTTTACATTTTAATTTAAAAGTATTACATTTTTCTTTATAGGTATTATATTTTCTCTAAGTAACAAACACTCGTCAATATTACTTAATACTTCTCCAATCTAAAAGTTCTCGCGAAGAGAATAAGATGTTGATGCCCTTCCCTCAGTCTCTTCCCACTTTGCTAATCTTCCCCTCTAACGCGGTTTGGGTGGCGACAGGCGTGGGTGGAAGACACCTAAGAGAAGACGCTCTTCTCTTAGGTCCTTTATTTTTCAGTGCAACAATTAAAGTGACTATGCCCTCTTTTTGTCATCCCGCTAGCTTTCCAAATTTTGTATTGAACGCATGGTGTAGCTAGGAGTCTAGGACCCTTCAAATCATGTGTGAGCCTATGTGAAACCAAAACCCATCCCCTATTTTACTAAAGGCTGGAAGGAATGCCCACCAAGTTCAGATAAGGGAATGCTTTCCCCAACCATTAAAGGAAAGACTCGACGAAGGGAGGGAAATGCGGCGAGGGAAGTAAAAATGTAAAAGTATTACAATTTTTGTAAGTAACAAACATTGTATTCCTAGCTTATTAATATTACATTTTTTAATATAAGTATTACAATTCCAAATACACTCGACACATCTCACAAATGATAAATCCTAATATAAACTCAAAGGACATCGACCTTAACAAGAACAACAACAATAAAAATTAAAAATATTTTTTTTTTAAAAAACTATATTATTGTGTTGTCATTTTTGTTATTGTTATCATCGTCATTCAAAGGGAATTGCTTAATATGGGTTTTATCACATAATTTTAAGTAAAGCGACCAAGTTGTTATGCCTTGAGTGATGGACTATCACAACCATCCATGCTTTACAAGTTAGTATCTGTTATTAATTATTCATGCTTTTATCTACAAAAATGTCGTTCTAACTAAAGCTTTATTTATCCGTGGCTAATCTTGATTTAAGAAGCAGCAAGCCCCACTGAACAAATGCTAGCTTACTTTATATGGCCATAAATGCAACCGTTTTCTGACTTGCTAAAGTGCTTTGCTTCGTGGCTGCAGACGATGTTGGAAAATTAAAATAAATGATTTCTTCAATAATTCCGTAAATTTGTAGCAATGCTAAACTTTGTTGTTCTTCTCCGAGTTGCACTCAAACTAAAAACTGTAATTCGCGCTCCTAGCACCGTACTCTCGTAAGGTAGCGAATGTTTTTTTTTTTTTTAATGCTACTGACTCACACACTTTCTCAACCTAATGTCTCCCCGAGGCTCAATACCAAGTTTTTGGTTGGGATTAATTTCCTAAATTTAAATCCTTTTGTGCTAGTCCACTAACGCTCGATCTCATGACCTCCCACATGGGAGAGGTCACTACATGTCATCTGAGCACAAGGTGCTTGGCCATATTTTCGTTATATATATTTAATATATATATATATATATATATATATATATATATATATATATATATATATATATATATATATATATTATTTTGGTTTCGTTAACTATTATTTTTTTTCAAATGAATTATTTCACTCAAATTGATGTCGTTTTGAACGAAATAACTTGGAAAGATTATCAAAGTGGGAAGAGACAGAGGGAAGGGCAACAACATCTTATTCTCTTCGCGAGAACTTCTGGATTGGAGAAGTATTAACATCACGTTTGGTTCACGGAATGAATTTTGAGGTAATAGGAATGTTATTCCATAAGGAATTGAATAGAAATTGTATTCTATTGTTTGGTTCACAGAAGGAATAGACTTTAGGAATTATATTACATACAGTGTTTGGTTGATTTAAGGAATAGAAATGAAATATGTTTTTAAGGACATAAATACCCTTATAAAAATATGTGATGGTGATGGTGATGGTGGTGGTGGCAGTTGCGTTGGCGGCGGTGGTGGTGGCAGTTGCGTTGGCGACGGTGGTGGTAGTCGCGGCGGCGGCGGTGGGCGGTGGCAGTGGTGTTGGTGGCAGCGATGATGGTGGCGGTGGTACGGCGGTGGTGGCCATGGTGGCGACGGCGGTGGTGGCGATGGTGGTGGTGGTGAAATATGAAATAAATTTAATTGGGGTTAAAATAAGAAATAAGTTCTCAGGAATAGCTTAATGCCAGGGGGGCCCCCAGGAATCTCTATTCCCATTGCAAGGGGAATAGGTCATTCTCAGAACAATGTTCATGGGAATACAAGTGGTTACCAAACAGATGAATATGCTTATTATTGGGAATGCTATGCCATTTCAGGCCTATTCCGTGAACCAAACATCCCATAAGTCATTCAAACCAATATTTTGTTAGGTTACTGTTTAATATTTTAGTATTAAGTATTAAATAGTTTATAATTATCAAGTCTTAAAAATAGTTTTTAAAAAAACAATTTTTTTTTAAAAAAATAAAATAAAAATACATGAGCTCTTAGTCTCCAATTAGGCACTCTTGGCGCTAAGGGCATGAGGAGCACCTAGTGACACACACACACACATACACACATATGTGTGTGTATATTTATTTATTTATTTATTTATTTGGTATATCGACTTATTTACTACCAACAATTTTAAGAGGGTGTATGACTATATCCAATCATGACTTTTATAGACTTTTATGAACTTTAAAAGTTTGGAGGTATTCAATTTAAACTTTTAGAGAGTCTTTAAAAGCTAGCCGGTATTCAATCAAGATTTTTAAATAGTCTTTAAAAGTCATGCGGTATTCAAAAAGTTATGAACTTTTGTAAACTTTTTAATTTTAGGACTTTTTTAGACTTTCCCTTCTCAAATATAAATAGGTGAAATCCAACCATCAACCCCAAGATTTCAAAATTTTCATTCTACCAACTTGAATATTTTCTCTTTCTTTTTAAACTCTATTTTTTTCTCCCTATTTAAACTTTATAAACCTTATACCTAAATTCAATAAATTATTTTTTCTTCATTATCCTATATTTTCTTCATACCTAAACTCTACCAATTTTTTCTTCTCCTAAACTTTACAATCTGTCTCTCAAAAATTGAAATAATATTATTTTTATTTCATTATTGCATATTTATTTTGATTTTATATTTTTTTTTCTACGAACTTTGTATCCTTTTACTTCTAAACTTTCTCTAATTCTCCCTAAATACATGAACAAAGCAAATTTTTCATCTATCATTGTCAAATTTTACAATATGTTTTATAATATTCATATAAATACTTATATATTTTAGTTTTTATTTTTTTTTTGTTTATATTCGTAAATTATATATATATATATATATATATATATATATATATATATATATATATATATATATATATTAAGAACATGTTACTCATAATAGCGAACTACTATTCGTAACAACAATTTGGGGTTGCAAGCAGTAGCACATTCTTGTTTTTATGATATATTATAACATGTTTTGTAAGAAAATTATGATTGATAAGAATCAAAATCATTGAAAGTTTGTAAGGTTGTATTCAATTTAGAATTTCAATGACTTTTGTAGACTTTTTTAAAATAAAAAAGTCTATAAAAGTTTATGACTGTTTTTTATATAGACTTTTATAGAGTCTTACAAAGCTTTAAAAAGTTTTGATCGACTCTACAAAAATCAATCAAAGTTTATTAAAATCTACCATTTTAAAAGTATTTAAAAGTCTTCAAAAGTCAGAAGATGCTTCAAAATTCACAAGTTGTTTTGCAAAGAATTTTCTTTTAAATTCACAAGTTGTTTTTCTCCCTATTTAAACTTTATAAACCTTATACCTAAATTCAATAACTTTATAAACCTTATACCTAAAAAGTTTATGAATGTTTTTTTATATAGACATTTATAGAGTCTTACAAAGTTTTATAAAGTTTTGAACGGCGTACTCTATAAAAGTCAATCAAAGTTTATTAAAATCTATCATTTTAAAAGTATTTAAAAGTCTACAAAAGTAATGATTGAATACACCCCCTTTAGTTACAAGAAGATGCTTCAAAATTCAGAAGTTGTTTTGCAGAGAATTTTCTTTTAAATTTTGTAATTGAAAAATTTTCACAAAAGTATATTGTTAAGTGTTAACTAGAGATGTGGGAAAATTATACGATCCCACATTTGTTCCACAAGAGATTGTGGAGTGGTATTATGTTGAGGCCAAATCTCAGCTCCACTCATGAGCTAGTTTCTATGGTGTAGTTAGAGTTGACTTGAGTGCCATATAAATAAAGTCCAGACCCCTTCTCAAGGGGTACGTGGGTCCACAAGAGTTTGCCTCCCACTCATGAGCTAGCTGAACCAAATTAAACCATGCCTCAAGTGGGAATCTAAAAAGAAGAAGTAGTGAATCCTGGTCCATGGTATAAGAATTGGTAATTCACCTGCCAAATAATACACATGCATCTGCCCACATTTGATAATTGATAGGATATAAAACATGCATACTCTCACTCTCACAAATTAGCACAAGGAACAACCACTGGTTGAGGTAACAAATTAAAGGAATTCATTACAACAATATAAAAGAAAACACACATTTACCAAGATAGTCTAACATTTTACACACATACATATAGCTTACATATATTTCTTCAGTCTCTTAGCTTTAATTCAACATATATGGCTTCAAACCAATTAAAGATAATAAGCATACTGGATGGGAAAGGAAATTAGATGGACAGTCCTTGGACGCTGAATTGTGAAGTAAAGAAGTTGAAGTCATGATGCCAAAATTTGAGTCGCTTCAACCAACACTTTGCGTCATTGTAGAGATCAATGATTCTCTCATAGTCATCAAACGTATTTGCATTTATCCAAATCTCATCATCCAATCTATATGTAGCCATCCCAAATGGATAAAGAACACCCCCACTCTTTTTAATATTATTGTTTCCTTCTCCTCCTTTCACCATTTCCATATCTTTCTTCCCTTTCTTATTCCCATCCTTGTCCGGATTCACAGCTCCGCCTATATTTGTACCGCAAAATAAAAACTAAGAACTTCAATTATAAAATCACCTTAAATATATTTAAAGGAAACTATATATTCAAATTTTCAATGAAATTAAATTGTAAAGGATAGATAATTCTTATTTTGTTTGTCAATATTCGTATATGTTGTTGAACGGAGGGCGGTAAAGGCCAAGTCTAGCACACGGTGGATGCAGTATTGTTGGGCAGAGGCCGGTAAAGGCCAAGTCTAGAACCCAGTGGCTAGGGTATTGTTGGCGGAGGCCGGTAAGGCCAAGTCCAGCACCCAGCGTCTAAAAAATGTGTGGCGGTATAAGGAAATAAAGTTGCGTCTTCTCTACTAGCTATACTTTTGGCGTAAGTGGTAAGCGCTTGATACAGCTAGGTCACTGGTTGGTGCTAGGAGCCTGAGATTGGTGAGGGGAATTGTTAGGCAGAGGCCAGTAAAGGCCAAATTTAGCACCCAACGTCTCGAAAATATTGTGCTAGTTGTAAGCGCTTGATCCTAACATATGCCTAATTGAATTTTCACAATATTTCGTACCTGGAATAGATGCTGAGAGAGCATGATAGGTAAGGAAGCAAGTTGACAGACGATCCCTGTGATGTCCCTTTGTTGGAATTTGATAAATAGGGTACCTAATGAAATAGAATATATGTATAGTATATACAAATTAGGCAAAGATAACATATTACTATACAATATGCCAAATCAATGGTGAAATTCTATTATATATTTATATATTGAGTTTAATGAATTTAATTAACAATACAATTACAATTGGAGAATGTGAATTTCAAGAAAATAGTCACATACATACCAAGCAACTGAAATCCAACTTGCAGGAGACAAGTCAGTAGTTTTGAATGTGAAGAGCCCAGGATGCACTTCTACAAATTCAGCAATCTAAAGCCAACACAATATAAGAATTTTGAGTATATTTATTGGTTTCACTATTAGATATATTCAAATAAAATAATACAAATGAAAATTAGACAAAATAAAACATGTAATTTTTTTATAAGCTAGGTGTCATCAAACATGTAAAAAAATTTTTTGAAACACTCATGATTCTTTCCAATATAGCATAGGCCACATATATCAGTTTAAAAATACTAGAATTCTAAATATTAGGCTCTATGAAATCATAATGCTAACTTCATCGTCAACCTAAAAACTCCTACCAAAAAACATACATGATATATATAGAGAAAATAAAAAGATTTTTCATAAGGCATTATCAAATTAAACATGTAACTATAATTTTCATCACCATAACCATTAATTAAAATACCTTTTCTATGAATGGAATTCTCCAATATGGAGAGCATGTATCACAAAACTGAAAGTAGAGATGTCCATGTTGTTCTACCTCTGAAGAAGGCTTATCATCACAACAATCCTTGTTTTTCTCAATGGAAATGTCATCCTTCTGATTGCTTGAGGACTGGTCTTTTTTCTCCCCCTCAATACTGCCAACATTATCTTCAATCTCTTTTTGGTTTCTAGGAAATTAAAACATAAGGGTGACAACATTAATATATACATTCACTTTCCAACAACAATAAACAATACTAGCTTGCTGTCAAATTGTTTGACAAGAGTATAACTCAGTTTACCACAAGTAAGAAAATTGTAAATTGTTGGCACATACATTTATCAATTGATTTATAATCAGGTGAGAACCAACCTTAACCTGCGAACTGCGAACTTGTGAATGATTGCACCGCAACTACTACATGATTGCACTGCTACGGCTCCTAGACATGCCGGGAGGACCTTGCGGTGCAATAATATCCGGGTGGGGTACAATCATGTATTGAATGCGGTGCAATCCTTCACAAGTTCACAGTTCGCAGGTTAAAGTTGGTTCTCACCTGATTATGTACTCATTTATCAAAAGTGAAAGAATTGAATACTAAATTATTCAAAAAGGAAATTGTATTGTGCATCATCATCAACATGCCATATTGTTGTTGTTAGCGTTCAAACTTTATTTTTTTGAAAGCGACTGACTAGTCAACATCGCCTCTACTGAGGCGATGTCTCATGACCTCTCGTATGAAAAAGTCACTACATGTCATCTGAACGTAAATTGTCTAGAATTCTAGATATTTATTAAAATGCCAATGACCTTGTGGTCGAGTGACAAGAGTGGCACCAAGTTGTTCTTCCAAATGGAACATTGTGAGTTCGAGCCTTAGTGAATGCGGTATTGACTCAATATTACTCAAAAGAAAGATATTTATTAATATAGTATAAGAAATCTAGTTCAAGTAGATACTAGAGCTAGTCCTCATAATTTGGATGAATTTTATATATATAGAAACTTTTAAGGTGTAGTCCTCATAATTTGGATGAATTTTTTATATATAGAAACTTTTAAGGTGTCGATCAACATTAGTGCAGCTTACATCAGGGTACAACCGAAACATGTATGAAAAAAAACTCTAATAACGCCTATATTTCCATACTGTCCAAATTAAGAATGTATCTGATAACACATGTGCAAATCTCTTAAATTCATTCTTCCAGCAAAGAGTCAATACCGCCCCACGAGATATTGAGCCCATATCCTCTCATTTAGGAAAGTCACCTCGATCCATTAGACCACAAGTAATTAAATTAGTTAAATAGCGTTAAATCTTACTGAAATGTTTGTTGTTGAACGTGTACTATTAAAAATTGAAGAAGAAATATTTCAAACTAATTTTTGTTCAATTAATTAAATATATTAAGCAATGTTAACATTAACTTGACATGCTTTAATTTAATTTGGAATTCTAATTCAAAGATTAAGTAAGAATTAAACAAAAAAAAAAATCTTACCCAGAAGTTTGTTGTGGTTCGTTGGTGAAGATTTGTATTGCAGATAAGTATGGCACATAGTATTGTGTAACACTTTCACCACTACTTAGAATAACAGGAACCCCAACGCCATATACACTCCATTCCTCGTAGCAATCCCACAAATCTCCAAGGGTAAAACATTCAATTGTGTCTCCATCTTTCTATTATCATATATAGGGTATTGGAATCATTCATAAAAGGAACAACAATAAATTAAAATTAGTGTTTTAAAATTTTCATTCTTTTAAACTAGATTCTTGACAAAAATGGCAACATTTTTTTTTTGTGGATTTGTTTTTTAAATCAAATTTGTAATCTTTCGGAAACATTTTTAAGGATGTCAATTCATTTAATTAAAATTTTAATTAATGGATTGAACAAACATGTTACAAAATTTATTTCGGATATATAAAATAAAGGAAAAAATTTATTCAAGGACCAAACAATTACGATCATTTATATATTCAACTCTATCAATACTTAATTCACAGATCTACAAGTTTGTATCATCAAAAATTTAAGTAACATACTTTCTATTAGTATTTGGTTTAAAATCAATCCTCAACCCTCTTATATGTATACACACACACAAGAGTTAAAGAATCACCTGTTTGGGAGCTTGTGAACAAACTATTGGTGTGACTGAGGAAAGAAAGTTTTGGAGATTAGAATGTTTAAAGAACAAAGGAGCAAAAATAGGAGAAAAACCTGACATTTTTTTTTATCAAGACCGGAATCAAGAGGATGTCAAACACACGTGATTTTCTTCTTCGGCGACAACCTTTTGATAAACCCGTCAACTAGACAATGAAACTGATAAAACATATTTTATATTTAATTTGACACAGTACACTATAAATCATTCAATTCGATTCCCATAATCCAATGGATTACAAAGAGAAAAAAAATTAAACAAATGATTCAAAAACAATGAATTCACAAAATAAATGTTAAAATTAAGGATGCTCACAATCTACTTTACATCGACAATTACTACTTTGGAAGCACATTTAATGCAAATACCATTAATTGGAAGGTTGAGGACCAAAATGAATTTTCAAAATTTTCCAGTCGGGACGGTATGGACTCTTTGTGCTTTCAATAGGTTGAGAAAATAGTTATGAAAAGTTTTATACTCATTCTTTTTTGCTTATTTTCTTTAGTATTTTTTAATTATTATTAATTTAATTTTCTGTGTTTAATAGTACTTTTAATGTAGTTTCTAGATATATAAATTTTATATATTAATACTGAGCTTAATATGATGAAAATTGAATTAAAATAATTCCAGTTAAGTCTCGTTCGTTTGTCGAATTAGACACATAAAATGAGACGGAAAGAGAGTAAATATTTTTAAAAATAAATGTAATTACTTCACAACTATCATAACTATGTCAGTGTTGATAAATACTATTTTTAATAAATAGTTATTTAAAAGTAATGAATTTCAATTAACAAAGCAATAATAAACATATATACTGTGTGTGTATGTGAGTGGGCATGCATTATTTTGTGTATTTGAATTTAATAATCATTTTTACTGATTTGAGAACACAAGAATTAATAGTTGTCCATTCTGGATGTTTTAATTATTTAGTTATTATTGAAGATTTTTGAACTTTAATTTTATTTTAGCTCTATTTTGGGAGAATGAAACTGCAATCAAATACAAAGAATTCATCAATTTAATTGAAACGAAAAATTCATTTTATTTTTGGTCGCCCGTTATAGTAATATTTTGAAATTTTTTCTTCAGTTATTTTTATTTATCTAATTTTAGTGCGCGATTATAAATTTTGGTCTTATCATTACTGTATCAGTTGTTATACAGTGGACCAAGGTTCACACATCGTTGTGTGGACCATGATCGTCGAATAAAACTGTAATAGAATTAAAATGATATTTTAGTGTTACTATAATGAAACTAGTGTTTGTGAAAAATGAAACTGAAAAACAGAGCATATTATTTTCAAAAATGAAACTGTAGTATAATTAAAATGATACTTTTGTATTGCTATAATGAAACTAGTGTGCGTGAAAATGAAACTAAAATTTAGAGCCATACAATAACATATATTGTCAAATAACTTGAAGTGCAATTAAAATAATACTTAACATTACAATAATTAAGCTAATGTGTGTGAAAAATGAAACAAAAAATTAGAACTCAAGCAATAATGTGTATATTATCAAATGAAATTATAGTAAAATTAAAATAATACTTTAATATTGCTATAATGAAATTAATGTCGAAAAAAATGAAACTAAAAAACATAGCAATATTGTCAAATGAAACTGAAGTATAATTAAAATGATACATACCTCATAGTCCACATTAAAATTTGCCTTGCTGTATCCATCCAATGTGGGTGGACAATAAGGGTACTTTTAGGATTTCAAACACTTTTTCAATTCTCATTTGATTTAATTAAAATTTTATTTCAATTCTTTTAATACAATAAAATATTTAGAATAGGGACTCAACTATAAAATATTTAACCACTTTTGAATTGGGTATTCCAAGTTATTCAACATGAGAAATTCACAATATATTAATCCATTAGGTGTGTATATGTTTAATTAGGTCCCAGATTCATAAATAAATTTAGTTTTCACAAAATATTATTTGATTCACTCTAAAGCAATACTCTATAAGTTCTCTCTCCAAGTTTACTTGAGTTTTACTAATAAATAGTTTGATAAAGTCTCTCATCGTTGAGTTGTTTAGCGAGTTCCCAACTAATATTATATGCACAAATACTAATTATATCACCATTATATTCTTATTTTTAATTCTATCTGTATTATTTATCTATATTTTTTTGACAATTATATTTAAATATATTATTAATCTACTAAGTATTTTAAAAATTTTCGATCTTAATTTGAAAATTTAATTTTATTAAGTAGACATCTTGATGGATTATGCAGAAAATAAAAATTAAATTGATACAAAATAATTTGGTTGTAATTATTTCAATGTACAAAGATTTAGATTGTTTTTCATTATTAGACCTCTAATATTGAAATGTAATTTTTTTTTTTTTTATGCCAATGAATAGCCAACATAGTAGAGCTAAGTCAGGGTGGGACACTCACTTTTTTAGAGAAGGAAACTGTTGCGCCAATTTCCTTGCAAATTTGGCTCAAGACAAAGCTTGGGCACTTGGGTAGTTACTGAAGCAATGGAGGGCTTGGACGCTCTCCTGGATCATGATGCGGGCAGTGCCCTCGTTCCTAGAATTAGATAATTTTGAGGCCTAGCCTCTCTTTCCTCACCAAAACAAATAGTAGAGCTGAGTCAGGGTGGGTTCTTTCCTAGTTGGATTATCGTAAAAACAAAAGTTTTGTTTTAAATTGTTAAATTTAAAATATTTGAATAGAATCATTAGGTGAAATAAATATTTGAAGTTTTTTAAAAAAAAAAACTCATTAATATATATATATATATATATATATATATATATATATATATATATATGTATATATATATGTATGTATGTATGTATGCTCCATTTTGTCCACTTCAAACTTTGTCTTTCCTATATATATTGAGATGCTCAAACTTTTTATAACGTCATTAATTAAAATACTATTTAAAAATTTCTAAAATGATACAAAAAATTACTGCTTATTATACTTTAATTTAGACAAA